AAATATTGGTGGAAGTGCTGAGAGAAGAACACCTCTCTCTAAGGGGCCAATGGATTCTTTTTTCACTGCTAGCCCCGAAATTGTGGTTCAGGAGAAAGAAAAAAAACAAACCACAATTGACAATAAATATAAGAAAGAACGAAGGAAGTCGGTATGTAAGTGGATTGCAAAGTGGATGTACATGGCCGACATTCCTTTTAATACTATAACTCTAGATAGTTTTGCATGTTTGGTCCAGGCAATTGGGCAATATGGCTCAGGACTTATTCCTCCTTCACTACATGAGGTTAGGGAGTCCTTGTTGAAGGATCTTGTATTTGATGTGAATAAACTTTTGATTTCTCAGAGAGAAGGGTGGGAGAAATATAGGGCCACTATTATGTGTGATGGTCGGTCCGATGGGAAATCAAGGGCATTCATTAATCTTTTGGTTAATTGCCCAACAGGTACTTTTTTGGTCAAGTCTACTGATGCATCAGACAAGTCACATGATGGTATATACTTATCTGGCTTGATGGATGAGATTGTCGATTTTGTTAGGGAGCAAAATGTGGTACAAATTATTACTGACAATGGTGCCAACTATGCTGCAGCTGGGCATTTCTTGACTTTGAAAAGGAAGCATATGTTTTGGACACCTTGCGCAGCTCACTGTGTTAATCTTATGCTTAAGCAAATGGGTACAACATCTTTATTTAGTGGGGTGATTTCAAAAGCTATGTTTGTTGTTGGATTTATTTACAATCACACCATAGTCCTAAGCATGATGAGGTCTTTTACAAAGAAGAAAGAATTAGTGAGACCGGGTATCACTAGACTTGCCACGTCATTTCTGACTCTTCGAAGCCTAGCCAAGCAAAAAAGTGCCTTGAGGACCATGTTTGCTTCAAAGCAATGGAGTCAAAGCAAATGGTCAAAGCATAAGGATGGGAGAAAGGCTGAAAAAACTATTCTGAATACATCTTTTTGGAGTCAAATAATTATTGCATTAGAGGTGGCTCGCCCTTTAGTGAGAGTGATTCGACTGGTTGATGGTGATGCGAAGCCCGCCATGGGCTACGTACATGAGGCAATGACTAGGGCAAGAACTGAAATAAAAGATGTTTTAAAGGATGATGAAAATATGCGCGAGGCTATACTTGAAACTATTGATAGGAGATGGGATACCCAGCTTCATAGGCACCTCCATTCAGCCGGTTATTTTCTAAACCGATCTCTTCACTACAAGCACCCATCCATTGAGTCAGATCGTGTAATAAATGGTGGGTTCTTAGGTGTGCTGGAGAGGTTGGTGCCAGACAAAGATATCCAGGATGAGATCCAGAGCCATGAATTGATTAAGTTCAAGTTAGCCTTGGGAAACTTTGGGAGAGATATTGCCACTCGAAATAGGGACACTACATATCCAGGTAAAGGCCAAAAGCCCAAAAATAATTTGTCTTGTCTCTTACTTTATGTATAGTTCCATTGTTTATTTTATACCCTTAATTTTTAACTATATTCTAAATTATAAAATATTATGCAGCTGCATGGTGGGGATTATATGGAAGTGAGACACCAAATCTACAACATCTCGCTATTCGAGTGTTGAATCTCACATGTAGCTCATCTGGTTGTGAGCGCAATTGGAGTGCATTTGAGCATGTAAGTTCTTTACTCCTTATTCCTTAATCCTTATTTCTTGAATTTTAATTTTCTAATCTAAATTTAATTTATCTGATTTCAAATTTCTACCACAGCTCCATACAAAAAAAAGAAATAGGTTGGAGCGGAAAAAGTTGAATGATTTGGTTTATGTGCGGTATAACGAGCGGCTTAGGGAGAGGTATGAAAATCGCACGAAGCTCGACCCTATTCAATTATATGAAGCTGATGGTGATTCCATAAGTGAGTGGACTGTGGATTCAAGACAAGAGCGTGTGTTTGAGGGTGAGGATCTTACATGGCTTGATGTCGAGCTAGCAACAGGGGTTAATGAAGAAGATCGACCTAACACTAGAGCACAAAGGAGTAGAGGAGCTGTTGGGTCTAGTCGCACTCGCACATTAGCTTCAGAGGTCGAGGAGGAAGCTGACTCAAAGGAGACCGATGAAGAAGAATACATGGAGGCTGTCGAGGATGATATTGATGATGCGCATGACGACTCTCAAGATGACTTGTCTGATTGATATTTAAAAAAATGAAGTTCAAATTTCAAAATTGACTCTCAAAATGGATGGTTGTAGTAAGTTATTATTTATTAACTATTAACTTTTCTTGAGCTTGACTTTTGATTTGTATTTTGTAATATCATTATTTTGTGCTTATAGTTATACTTATGGTTGTTGATGGTTGTGCTTAATTATAGTTGTGCTTATGGTGCAAATTTGTGTTGATGGTTGTTGATTGTTGAATGCTTTATGAAGCTGGTTTCAAGTTTCTAGTTTCTATCAGGGGATAGTGGATACAGAATCTCCGACAGCTAATAGTTTTGAAGTTAATCATTAAACTAAAATACCTACTATCACATATATCACCTTCATATTTTTTTCCATGCATTAACTTATTTTTTTAGATTTTTTATAATTTTTTATTGACCGCATCATCGCGATGCACCCGCCTCCAGGCCGCATCGAGCCGTATTGCTGCATCGGCCCCCCACTGCATCAGGGCCGCATCCCACATTTAAAACACTGCCATGAACAAATCGAACTTAACTTCGATGGTTGCTCCCTGGGCAACCCAAGACCAGCAGGGGTCGGGGGACTATTTAGAATTTCGGAGGAGCACACAGTGCTCCTCTACTCCAAACATAACGGTGTCATAAAATCTACTTCAGCTGAGGCCATCGTATATCTTAAAGGCCTTAGAGCCTTCAACCTAGCCTAGAAATCTTTTCTCATCATAGAAGGAGATAGCAGGAATGTTTTATCGTGGGCTTCTGGAGCAGCACCTAGCCCTTGAAGACTACTACACCTTTTTGATGCGATCTCTTTTCTTTGTGCAGCTTCACAAGTCTCTTGGAGACATATGCAGTGGGAAGCTAACACCGTTGCTGATGCTCTTGCAAAAGCTGGAGCTTCCTCATCCTCACTTTTGCCTGCTGGAGCTTGATGTTCACTCCCAACTCCTTTTCTTTTACTCTGCTCTTGTTATCCAAAATTGTACGTGAAAAGAATTTTGGTAGCCCATTCAAAGGCATGTATTTTTTGGACCCATGAGGTTTTTCAGTTTTTGTGTAGGGCCAGTTGTGTTGGGATCTCCCACTCTTATACTCTGTACTCCAGTTGGGTTTGGGGTCTCCCGCTCTTATACTCTTTACTCTCTTCTCTTAATACAAAAGTTAACATTCTCAAAAAAAAAAGTTCCTTTAGATGCCTTTGGAGTTTGATGAAATATTTTTGAAGATAGAATATCTTCTTTCTAGGGTAATTAGATTTTGCAAGTGGAGATTGAATGGCTACCTGCAGGAATGGAGGCCATCTAACATCCAGTTCGTATTGTGAGGCTCTGGGGATCATAGATATTTATCCAACGGCTTCAAGTATACACCTGAGAAACATCATTATGAATTGATAAACCATTTGAAATGCACTTTGGCTCTTACATACACCAGCTTTTGTAGCCAAACCTTTGTCTTAAGATGCTTCTCCAGAAACCCTCTTTGTATGTTATTTGGCATTCTTTTCTGTTTGTTGTATGGGTCTTAGGAGAAATTATTGTGATAGCTGTATACTGAAAAGGGTTTTTCAAGTGTGAAATGCCTTGGGAAATGTCTGTAAATTGGCTCTGTGAGTGGTTGATCCAATTTCATGCTCCATGATAAATAAGTGAATCTTGTTGAATTAATTGATTATGTTACTCTCCCTTCAAATTTGTATCCATGCATAATAATTTAGTAAAAATCGGTGTGTATTTTGTATGGTAAATTAAATGTGTTTGTTTGTCTTATATCTATGATGCGTGGTAATCTATTTTGAAAATCTTCTTAGAATCTTCATTTTGTTATTCACCTAATTTCGAACATGAAATGCACAATACTTCTTTTATCTTATGTATTAATCTTTGGATATTTCCTTGTGTGAGTGTGCAATGATGCACACTTATGCAATTGTTGGACGAATAAAGAATCTGTTTGTCTGGTATATCCATTCTTGACTCTTCACACTATAAAATGTATGTTGCATTGATCTCTCGTTATACCAAAGTTCGATAGTTAGTTAAGTATTTCAGATTATTCAATACTTTAATTTTTAAAGATTCTTTTATTGCAGTTCAGTTTTAATGTATTTCATGCAATATAATATGTTTTTTTCGCTCTTAAAGACTCGGTCATTGCTTTTATGTTACCCCTATTTTAATTTTTCTGTTCAGTCTGCCTGTTGGGCGATGGCAAAGTCATGGCTTGATGTACAGATAGATTTGGAATTGGCCCGTTATCAGCCAAGTAGATCAGATGATATGAAAAGTAATGAAGTTATTTTAGATGGGGCTGCTGGTGAAGGTGACCAGACCATGCAAGGTTCTATTGGTCCAGAATCATGGCCATCGCAAGTTCTAGATCAGCAGCCTCGTGACCTTCATGCGCTTCTTCAGAAACTTCATTCGGGGTATGGATGTAACTTTGTCCTGAACGTTTTGTAGTTACATTTCATGAAAGTGTCTTCGAACATAACTCTAATTTCTGTTCTCACCTTTTTCACTGATAGTTGCTTTGTTTTTCATTTTTCTAGGGAAATGGTACACGAAGCAGTCTCCCGAGGATGTAGGGAACAACATCGGCAAATAGAGGTAATGTATATGGGCCGCTCACAATGTTTAGAGAAGTGTTCATAGGACTCATGCAGAAAACATGGGCATCCCTTAAAGGACTCACTGATATGGGTATGCGTGCTCATGTGTTTGTTTGTTTGGATATCTATATTTTAATAATTTGTGCAAATTCTGAGTATTTACTGTGAATCCTGTTTTAGGATATGGGTTTGGCGGGTTTGGGGTGGAATGGGTGGTCAATCTTTGGATCAGAGTTTCAGGACTTGGCTGAGTCCACTCAGGCTCCAGGAGTAACTTAGCCTCAGCCTCTGGCGGAGGGGAGTTCTGGGGGTCAACTTGGCCCTAATTTAAAATGATTAAAAATGCCTAATTTTTGTTAAACAATCATAATTTAGAAATACATTTTTTAGATCGTTTATATATTCTTGTTGATGAATTGGGAGGTTTTCTCTCAACCTGCTCCAATTTTTATTTTTCATTTTCTTGATTTTTATGAATATTTTAGGATAAATAAAAAATTTCAATATTTCAACTTCTATGCTTTTTTTTAACATCTAATGAATTCCATTAATTTACTTTTTTATTTTATAACCTTTCTTGTCTTGTACACTACTTGACCAAATCCACTCGGACTTGGGTGAGTTACTCGGCTCGAGATAGAGCCAAGTTTGTGGCTTGAGACGAGTTTAAATGCATTGGTTTGAGGTTCCTTTCTTTGACCTTTATGCATAAGAGAAACTCCAAGAGGGGTGGTCTTTGCAAAATTATGGGTTTTTTGCTCTTGAATTTTTTTTCTTTTTTTGTTTTTCTATTCCCATGGATATCTAACTGTTATCCTGAAACTTAAAAGGAGCCTCTTTTAGAGCATTTGAGTTGGATGTAGGTGGTAAGCAGGGCGGGATGCTAGATGATTTAATATTTATAGTGAAGGATATATTGATAAAATGCATATTTATGGTGATGCTATGGTTACTTCCAGTGGTTCTAAGCTTGTGATTCCACTAAGGTACCCCACGCCTCCCGGAGTTTTGTACTGACTCTAGATTCCAGGTTCCTTTGAAATTTGCATTCTTTCCTGGATTTTCCATTTCTTAGTTAGTCACATTAATTGACTTATTTGATACATTCATGGAATATTGAGAATTTTATGACTTTAAATTTAAAAGATTAGGTCTAGGTTTCTAAGACCATAAATTTATAATCCTAATAACCAAACTTAATTGCATAATTGGCTTGGTATAATTTAGAGAAAGAAAATGAAATTTAGGTGTTGATTTTTTCTCTTTTCTCCCTTCCCTTTTCGTAAATTTTTATTGGTATATACTTTAATCAATTTAATTTGAGAAAAAAATCAGTTAAGGCTAGTTGACTCAAATGGCTTGGGACTGGGCCAAATCCAAGCTTTATCTGCTTCTTCAAATACTTGAATATCCTAAGTTGATGGAGTTAATGCATACTAATTGTTTGCTGCATGCTGGAAACTGATTGCTGCAAGATTTATGTTCAGTTTTCCTTGCACTTGAATGATTGTGAATCAGTATGAAAGCACCAATTCTATCTGGTGAATGCCTTCTGTATAAAACTGTTCAGAGGAATATTTCGATTCCATTTCCTTAATTTGTGGGGAATGCATTTCACCAGTATTTTGCCCATTGTTGAAGGATATGGCAGGTCAAAGACCTTACAGATTGTGAAAATGGAAGTATTATGCTATGAATGGATTTGTGCAAAATAGTGGTCATACCATTTGTGTACTTATGCACATCCTACAATTTCCCTTGTATCCCGTTCATTCTACTAAGTTCCTGAAGTACATCGTTTCTCAGTGCCCGCCCTCTTGGGCTCCCAATTAGTGAATAAACATGTACTCCGATGTGTATCTCATATTTTTCTCCATTTGTCGGATTTCCTGATGCAAGCCTCCAGTGATCCAAGTGTTTCTATATTGGCACCTCATTTTCTTGAGCTATTTCTCGACAATATTTTGCAAATTCATTTGGTTACCATTTTCTTGCCCACTTTGACTACTTCTATTGGTTGTTTCTAATCTATTATGGATTTACAGATGGATCTCATGGTAGGAGATGTTGCACACGTCCTAGACCTTTTAAGATCTTGGATATCACCTCCAGAGGATGATGGTAACTTTTTCAGGTAGTGACTGGAGTATTTTTGCTTGCATGGATATAATATCATAGGAATTGGTTTTGGGCTTGACTGGTTAGCAGTTAATGTTAGTAATGCTACCTCTCAAGTTCAATTCCTGAACTACCTACACACAAAAAAAATGTAGTAGTTCCTTGTATTCAATATCTATGTTGTATAGAATTCATCATCAATTCCTTTTATTGTCACAGTCCTCAGTGTGATCCCCAAATGATACGGTTTGGCGCACATTTGGTGCTTGTTCTGCGATACTTACTTGCCGATGATATTAAGGACGAATTCAAAGACAAGCTTACACTTATAGGTGATTTGATACTCCACATGTGAGTACTATGTTTGGTTTTCCAACGTGTTGATCTGTGTGCTTCTTAAGGAATTTGCATGACGACATTTATCTTTCTATATCACATTTGCATGTTTATAGATGTATACATATGTGAGAGAAGCCCCTCATTTCACTTGCGTCCTTATTATGCCCTTGTCTTGTTTATTCCTTATATAGCATGTTCTGTTAGTGATGAAATGCATATGTAGCTATAGGTTGATTAGATTCATGTTGCTTCCATATTGTAGTCATGAAATGTTTCTATTATATATGGATAATGATTTTTCCTACAAGCTATCTCAGAATACCGTATATTTTTCAGTTTTTGAGATCTTGGGGATGTGCAACTAATAGTTGGGTTGATATTTTTTAGTTGCTGTTTCAGTATTTAGTGGTAGTGGACCTTTGTGTTGGTGGCTGGGTTCCCCGACTTCAGTTAGTTGGCTAAGTTTTTTGTTTTTGAAATTGTTAACATTGTTGGTTGGTTAAGTTCTAAGAAATTAATTAAAGTAATGTTCTAAAAATTTTAGGATTGCATAGTTGTATTAAATAGTTACTAGCTAATGATACATGGTTTATGCCATGCTCCAGCTAAGAAACTAGATAAAAATGAAAATTTTAAATATTTAATTGATGAAAATTAAGATATCATTTTGTATTAGCTTTTATGTCATGCCATTTATTATTTATTGTATTGCGATTTATTTGATTTTAATATAATATGTATTTTTTTTTGTATTTCTCAAATTTTAACTAGAATTTGTTTTTCTATTTTTTTTAACTGATTTCTAGTTCGTGGATACATTTTTTTTTGTATGTATCAAATTGTTTTAATGGGACTTCCTATTTTTTGAAGGAATTTCTTTCTACTTGACAGATGTCAATATATCAATTTGTTATTGTTTTTAAAATATAAAGGCCTTTTCTAAATTTTCTCGTGTTCCTAAATCTCTCGTCCAATGCTCTCACTCTGTTTCTTTTCTCTTGTATGCATTTTTAAAAAATTCTTAATTACAGAAAAAAACAGGTTTTTGATGATGAGATGGACATGACCTTTTCTGGCCCATCAGTGGATATAGAAAAGAACTAGAGGGACAATGGGAGGTGAAAGATGGACAATGTGATCTACCCAAGTATATACAGTTAAATTTGTTTATTTTCTTTCTTTTATTCATACCGGCTAGAACACTTCAAGTATCCAAAATTACAACTTTATCATAAAATATACCCTAACACAATCTAGGATCTTCTCTTGCATACCATTACAATTTTTTATAATCATACAAAAATACAATGCATGAAGAATCAAGAAACATGGAGCAATTAGAATACTAAATACCTTGCCTCTGGTTACCTCCAAGGACTTCGTATACCCCACACATGGTCTCCTCCACTGATGGTGCACGAGATCTCAGTTCTAACCTTGTCTCATAATTTGAGAAGCCTAGGCAAAACCTCTTGAGAGCATGATATAGGATGGATGAAGACATTAAATCACAAAACACCAGTACATGTACTATCTCAAGGCTAGGGCACGCCACCCTTGATGGCTAGGGCATGCCCCTTTGGGTTTCTTACCTTCTATATTAATCAAACCCTAAC